TTGGCTTATGAATTTGCGATCATGGGATATTCATATGACATATGCATATAGATGCATTAAAAATGTTTTTATAAATGTGCATGTGCATATGCATATGTTTTTTAAAAATATGCATATAGATAAAAAATTTGAATATACATTAATAATGCATTTTTTGAAAAAAGCTTTTTTCAAATATTAATTTCGAAATTTAAGGAATATTTTCGTAGATTTAAAAAAATAAAAAAGAAACAAAATAAATTAAGAAAAATTAAAAAAGCTTATTTAAAAAAAAAATTAAAATTATATGAAAATATGCCTTATATTTCGAAAATAAGATTTAAAAAAAGAACTTTTCAAAAAAATACATTTTTAATACATATTTATATTTTTTTATGCATATAAATATATATATATATATATATATATATATATATATATATATATATATATATATATATTCAAAAAAATATGCATATATACAAAAATATAATTTTTTTTTTCAATTTTTTTTGTAATCTTCCAATATATACTTATTAGGCTAAGCGGAGTGGAGGTCGCCACCGTCCTCACTACGCTCGCTAGCTAACTTGAAACACCACCCCTAGCACTCGCTAGAGGGGTCGCTACCGAGCACTCGTCGAAGTTTTGGCGAGAAGAGAGAGAAACAATAACACATTGTGATTGGGTGGAAGAAGACGAAACGGAAATCGGGTGTGGTGTTATTTTACTTTTTGATCTGGGTTTGCGCTTGATGTTCTCCAAAACCATCGATCGGTTTCGAGTTGTCTGTGTTGCATCAAATCAGCTATTGAGAGTGAGAAACGATTGTTCAGACCTCTAATCCAGAAACGATCGCAACTCAATCGCTCGTCTCGCTGGTATCGCAATTTGACAATCTCTTATCTGCTTCATCTCGATTCTTCACAATTTGCTTCGGTGCTTCATCAGGTAATCGGCTACTTCATTGAATTATTGAAATTTGAAGGTACCTGTTAGTTACCATTCAATTAATTAGCTTCATTAACCACTTATCACCCCTATTTGCTTTCTGTGTTTCTTTGATACAATCAACATTGCAATTTGTTACTGTTGATGAATATTATCAGAATGAAGAGAGTACCCATCCTGCACCAGTTACAGATGCAAATAATCCTTTTCGTATTTGATCAAATTGAAAGACCCACTTTGTCTATCTGGAACATTGTGATCAGATGCTTTGTGCAGAGTGATAGTCCTATTTTTGCACTCTATTTGTTTGATGAAATGCGCGACCGAGGACCTGACCGCTGATTCAGATATAAAGCCTTGGTTTCTTGGAACTCCATTATTTGTGGGTATAGTCAATCTAACAGATATCAAGAGGTTTTAATTATTTGTGGGTATAGTCGATCGCATTAAGTTTCTTTATTGACATTAAGAACTCAAACATTAAACCTGATGAAATCATAGTTGCTAGCGTGCTCTCTGTCTGTGCTCATCTAGGCTCAATCGATATGGGCAAATCCGTCCATGACTACAAAAACAACATAAAATAGAATTTATACATTGGGAACTCTTTGATCGATATGTACTATAAATGTGGTTCAATAGAGAATGCATTGGAAGTGTTTGAAGAAATGGAACACAAAGATTCGGTTTCCTGGACCTTTCAGGACTTGCTATGAATGGAAATGCCAATTACGCCCTTGACCTTTTCTCCAAGATGTTAATGTAGTTGATATGTTGAGTCGATCAGGGGATCCTGATAATAGCGGGAATTATGTTCTTTCATCAAACATTTAGGACTTGGTGTTTGTTTGGTATTCTTGAATGAAGGAGGGAATGGAAAAGATAATTCCATTACTTTCAAAAAAAAATTTGGTTGATCACATGGAAATGATAGAGTGATTACCAAAGGAATGTGATTCCTTTTAAACTTTGCTTTTTTGATTCATCGCACACCCCCTATTTTTTATCATTCCTTCATTCAAAGAATGAAAACTACTGATTTTACCCTTTATCGGTTCTTCTTGAGTTTTTGTCAATATCACAACCAAATAGTGAATCAAACAAAAGTCAACAAACTTAACTGTTTAAAGCCAACTTGAGGATCAATTTCTATAGTGAAAAAAAGTCTTTTAATCGTATTGTTGAAATTATCCAGGTCTATGATGGATTGTGTACTAAAATAGTTGAATTTATGTAATATTTTGTGTTTGAAAAAATTATAATTTAATTAAATTTGAAAAAAAAATAGAGTGCTAAGAGTGTACCACTCCTTATGAAATGCTAAGAATTATGTGCTAAGATAAAAAGATGACGTGGCAGGCAAAAAAGTGACATGACAAGGTGTTAGGAGTGTTACCACTCCCTCTAGCCTTAACATGCACATGTGAAATTTGATAATTAAATTAATTATAGATAAAAAGTTTGTTGGTTCTCTCCCTTAATATAGTTATCCATTCATCTGGATATAATATATATATATATATATATATATATATATATATAATTGTCTGTGAGTCGACTATTCCAATCAAATTGATTTTCAAACAATAAAAATATGATAGTAAATGAAGAAAAATTCAAGACGTATCAAGATTTTGTTCAAAAAATTACTCTGATTTGTTTATTAATAACTTGAATTAATTTTTTTTCTCATTAATATTATTATATCAAAACAGTTTAGTATAATTATAATAAGACAAAACATCATAAATAATCATTGTGGTTTCCTAAAATTTGGGCTTTAGTATCTAACTTTAAAAAACTTTATGAAAGGTCCCTATGGTTTTTAATTTTTATCGAGGTTGGTCACTCACACAAGTAAAAAGACTTCTATATCCTTTTTCATTTTTCATTTTAAATAAATCTATTTAAAAAAACAAAAGAAATGACCCCACCATTGGACCTCTCTCTCTCTCTCTCTCTCTCTCTCTCTCCTCTCTCTCTCTCTCTCTCTCTCTCTCTCTCTCTCTCTCTCTCTCTCTCTCTCTCTCTCTCTCTCTCTCTCTCTCACACACACACACAGAGAGTAAAGGAAAAAGTAAAAAACAAACCCATCCTAATTTTCTTTTCCCCAACTCACCTTGTTTCCCTCCCCTTTGACCTGTTTGTGTTATTGAACCTCACAACAACACTTATGTCATCCCATCTCTCAGCAGCATACATGTGACGCCACCAGAGACATAGATAACTTTGCACCGTCATTTGGTGCTAGCAACAAGACACCCCTCTGTCGTCGCCATTGGGACAGAAAACTATCCCATATTCAAAAACAATGGCCCTACAATCCCTACGGGAATCTGAATATACCCCACCAATATCGGCCGCACACCCTCATACCATCTTCATCTCTATCGTAACAACCATCGAAGTATTAAAGATTTGGAGGTGCTTGACAATTTTGATTTTGATTTTCTATGTTTTCAGTTTCCTAGGTTTTGAGGTTCTTAAAGGCTTCGATGAACACACAATCGAAGATTGGAGGTTTCTGAAAGCTTATATATATATATATATATATATATATATATATATATATATATATATATATATATATTCACTGCCTGAATTTAGTTAAAAGTTGGGTTTAATTTGATTAAAGGCAATATAACACGTTCTTAGATTCAAAGTTGGGTTTATGAGTTTAGTTCAATTGTCGATTTCAGAGTTTTTCACCATCGATTTGCAGGTGTCTATATTAATCGCTATATGTGTGTGTATGTTTAATAAGATGAACGCAGAAAATCATTCTGGTGTCGGAGGTATGAGAATACAAAATTCTGGTGCCAGAGGTCTAAGAACACGAAAAAAGATTAAAAGCGTGATGGAGATCTGAGAACACAGAATTCCATATTCGGTTTTTTCCACAAAGATTTTGAGCCAAATTTCAATTTTTTTCACAAAGGTTTGAAGATGCGGATGTGTTTTCGTATAGATTTTCGTCCAGGTTCATTTTGTGTTCATGGTCGTCTTCAACCTCCACCTTTATCGATATCTAGATTTCCATCTTCGATTTTTTCTTCGAAGATTTTAATTTTTTTTTCAGCTTCGATTAGAACTAGATCACTATTTATTTTTTTTAATTTAATGTTAATTTGGTAATATGTTTGTAGTTGGATTTAAATTTGGTTAAAGAATCTTGATCTTCATGTGTTTTCCTATTTTTTTTTCTCATGGTTTGGAGTTTCTCATGGCGTCATGTGATATATATATATATATATATATATATATATATATATATATATATATAGGCCCAAGGATGGGGTTATTTATTTTGTTTTTTTTAATAGATTTAATTAAAATTGATTATAAAATAAAATAAAAATGATATAAAAGTCTTTTTAGTTAGATTAGAGACTAACCACAATAAAAATTAAAAACAATACCAAGTTTTTTGAAGCTAGGGACTAAAACATAGATTTTGGAAAACAAGAAGGGTAATTTATTAAGTTTTGTCTTATGATTTTATTATTGGTTTATTATTATCTAAGTAGTATATTTTGATTAATAATATAATAGAAAAAAAAAAGTTGATAACAATTGATTTTTTTTTTAGTCTTACAAAAGTTATTAAGTAAATAAAAAAGGCTAAATAAGCATTAATGGTTTAGAAGGGAGAGTAAAATCTAGGTAGAAGATGAGTTGGGTGACGTGATAGTGAGAGTGAATTTGGTTTGTAAAGCATATAGAGAAATCAAATATCCTTAACATTTTCTTTTTCCTTATCATTCTACTTATTAAATCGAAGATAGCTATCAAAACTAAGAGGGGATTAAGAGAGAATTAATAGTATTCATATTTATACAAGTAGAAAAATAAATGGGAAGAATAGATAAAAAGATATTTAATTTTTCAATCATATATAAATTAATTTTTAATAGAGTTAATTTGATATGTATTACTCGATAAAGGCATGGCCCCTTCTCGCCCTGATTTAGTTTTGTAAGTGGATTATTTTACGTTTTGGTAACGCGCCGTTAGTGGCCGACCAATAAAGAAAAATCAAGGGTTGGCCTGCACAATTTTTTTAAGGGTTGTTTTAATAGAAAATTTCATTTATGACGGCAGTTTCCGTCATAAACTCTGTCATTAAAGAGTTTTACTTACGGATTACATTTGACTGTAAAATAAACTCTGTCATTAAAGAGTTTTACTTACGGATTACATTTGACTGTAAAATTTGAAGGATAGCACGTGCTATCCCTGCTAAATACGATGCCGTTTCTTTTTCTCTCACACACGCTCGCTCGTTGAAATACAAAAATATAACACCTATTTAATAGAAATATATAGATAAAGATCAATGGAGGGCAACTCCAAAACTTATAGCATAACGATGACACTACATATAACAAAGACAACACAAGGAAAAACATGGTTTTCCATATTTATTTTGATATATAGTATATATGTTTTTAAATCTCGCATCCCATCTGTCGCTGGATGAATCTTAGTGTACCCTGCAACAACCAATCACAAAAAATAAATATCTTCTTCGGGTTAAAATATAGTTTAATAATTTGTTCAACTAATAACTATATATTAAGGTCGTTTTGATAATAATTATCTAAACCCTTATAGTTTAAAATTAAAATAAAAAATATCTACGACAACTATTAATGAAGGAAAATGTAAAATTGATTTCGGTTCGTGCCAAAAGAATAAGGAAACTAACGGTTTTTGGATGATATCAGATGAAACATATTGGGTTTTTCGAAGAAAAAAAAATAGTATGTTAGGTTGATGTGTCTAGTCGACGCTATATCCAGTTTAGCGGAATATTACTATTTTAGATCTATTATAAGACGAAAAGATGAAGCCTTAACATTACGTTTAGAAGATGAAATATAAAAATGTATAAATAGGACGACATACTTGGAGCAGTCGATGTCGGGGCTGAACTTAAAAGGAAGATTAACACCACACTTTGCTGGAAGGCCGACGGCATTGCTAGGATTGATGCCAGCATATTGTGTATAAGCAGTTTTCAGGCAACCACAAGCAGTCTTGCGGTCGGGGGTTGCTTGAGTGGCGGCGTTCAGACTCTTAAGACCACTGCAACATGGTGGAGGCAGTGCACCACCAGTCCTCAGGTAGGCTAGGCATGGCAACATCTTGCTCACCACCTGACCGCAGGTAATAGCAGCCTCTGCATAGGGTGCCGACAACACCATGCAAGTCACCACAACACATAAGGCCTTAATTATTGTCACTGCCATAGTTCAACTGAACTTCACTCAATTTAAATAGAAAACCTAACTAACACAAGATAGGTCTCTTTTACGTATATCGGTTTGATGCAAGAAACAGTTATGGACGGTACCACGTATTTATAATGATTTCTATGTATGTGAATGTGCGTATGGTTTCTAATTAAAGGCCATAAAATTCTGGTAGAACATACGCATGTTAAATAAATGTTGTACTATTATCTGAGAGTGACAAATGTTTGAGATTATTTATATAGGTTATGCTTCCTATTCTGTATTATAAAGGATATTAGTCATATATGTTGAATTTTAAGAGTTATAAGATACAATTTTTTTTTTGTAAAAATCAATTATGTATAAATAAATCATTCATACTTGCTAAAAGTTGGAAGATTTGAATTGAGGAAGGTTATTAAGAAATTTAATTTAGGGCAACATAACAATTTTAAAATATATAATTCATATATATAAATTAATGTACATTTTTTAAAATAGATACTGATATTAATTAATTTACATCAAATTTACAAACAGACAATATTAATATAAGGTCTAAACATAAATATTTTATTTAAAAGTGATAATTTTTTATTACATAATAACTAATAATAAAATCTAATAATTATTTTCCCGTTAAAAAACTATGCGTCGAAAAAACTATTTATCGTTGCCGCTTTGCGTGGGTACACACAAATAGGCCCGACTCAATACATGGGCGACTTGGGCTCAGGCCCAGGACAACAAACCATCGAGGGCATCAAAATAATCCAGGTATATGTATAGTATATATAATGATGGCCCAAAAACTTGGCCTATATTGTTGATCCGTTATCGTGAGAACGAAAGTTGGGGGAGACGCGCCAATTCCAAACAATCATCGATCTACTCATAGAGAAACCAAACGTCGCTCATGCCTAGAATCCTGTTCGTGTTGTTGTCGATGGGAGAAATCAATGCCTATATAGAATACGTCTCCTATAAAGAAAAAGTAAGAACAAATTTCTCTTTTGTTTCCTTCCAATTCGATAATCGATATTACATAGCTCTCAAATCTCAATTTGATCATTATCAGTCGAAACTTAGTCCGATATAGCAGCGATTTCTCTAATTTGGTCCAGTTTTCTCTAATCTAATACAGAAAATAGCGATTTTGAATTTTTGATTTAGTGATTCACCGATTTGGTTGTTATTCATTTCTTGTTGATTGTTTCAGACTCTGATTTAGGTGAGTTCATTCGAAGTTTGTGTTTATTTAGGTTTATTTCAGAAATCTGCTTGATTTCTTATTCATTGATGATCTGATCTCTTCTCTATTTCATTACAGGGAAAAATAGTCAAAGTTCCAAAGAGTTCATTCGAATTTTTCTATTTCAGAAATCATATTTTTGTTACAGCCTTTCATAAATCAAATAAGATTTTTCCCTTGTTTGTGTTTGTGCTCGATATTGCTGTTTCAAAAATCATCAAACCATATGTGGGTAAGTTTAAACTCGAAATTTGTGTTTACTTAGGTTTGTTTCAGAAATCTGATTTCTTTCAGCAATCAGATTTGTTTATACTCTTATAGAAATCAGATTTTAAGATTTTGGTTAGTTTAATTTTGATGTCTGTTTGTGTTCATTGTTCAATATTTGCTGTCTAAACATTCTTTCTAAATTTTTGTGTTTGTGCTCGATAAACATTCTTTCTGAATCTGATTGTAGAGGACTTGTTTCAAGAGCATCCCATGAGTAAAAGAAAGCTGAAGGAGCTGTTTGGGCACACCCCATCATATGTGGTATTGTCGTTGCAGGGCAGTGTTTGGGATTCTGGTGGCTTATATTTGTTGTTAATGTTCTTTTGGTGTGGTTTGAATTCTATACAAGATTGTTTTGTTTTAAAAACAACTTTGTTTGATTTTTGGTGGATTGATTAATTGTGAATAAAATAAGACATAAGTTGTTATAATATAATCCCAAAAAAAAGTTTCAAATTGAATTTTCTTTTTGTTTTTTAGAACACTAACTCATTTGATTTTTTTTTTATAAATCCCGTCCTCTTTGTATCAAGTTTGATATTGATATCAATTTTATGGACTATGTTGTTAAGTGATTGAAGAATACTATTTGGATAATAATAGTAACAAAAAATTAAATATAATTTTCAAGTTTATAAAATAAAAGATGTTTTTGCTTCAAATATACATGAAAGCATCTTTTAGATGGTTTTTGTAGGTTATTTTTGTATAATATGTTTGATTATAAAATTTATTGCATTTTTGTTTATATATATAATTTTATTTTTATGTTTTGTCCATCTTACAATACATACATAAGGGCATAAAAATCATATCTCGCCCCGGGTATCAAAAATCAATGGACCGGCCCTGCACACACACACACACACACACACACACACACATATATATATATATATATATATATATATATATATATATATATATATATATATATGGGTTACGATTAAATGTGTATCATAAGTATTGTATGAATGTGTGACCAAATTGTGGCCATTAGATTAAAAGAATTAATGGCTGTGATATTAGGGTTACATGTTATTATTATGGAATAACATTTACCATATATTTTGATTGAATTACTTGTAACATCTATTTTTTTTCAAGTTTGCTTTCGGACCCTTGAGTTTTGATTTGTTGCAAGAAGGGTCCCCGATGTCAAAATCCGTGACTTTTTGGTGTTGCTCGAGTATGCGGGGCGTACGCCTTAGTACGTTGAGCATACAATGTCTCGTGCCAGTACACTGTGCGTACTCCGGTACGTCGGGCATATGTGGTTCAGACCAAAACCCTAATAATTAGGGTGTGTGCACTATTTAAACACCATTATGGCCCCAAGACCTTTCCCTATATCAGCCTCCATCCAAAGATCGACCTTCTTTGCAAACCCTAGTTCTTTTTGAGCATTTTGAGCTTTTTGGAGTGATTGTGTGCTTCCTTGGTTGTGAAGAAGGACCTTTAAGGAGTAGGCTTTGCTCTCAAGACTTTGGATCCATCATCTCCTCTTCATTGTGCACCGTTTGGAGGTATAAAGCTCCAAACTAGTCTTATGTTTCTTCAGATCTTAGTTAAGCCTTGATTTTCTTCCTTTTTGTCCCAAAGTCTAGAGCTTGTTGTGTAAGAGGTACTCCTAAGCCTTCAAGGTGTCCTTTCAAATGTTTTAAGGCAATTTCATGTCATAAAAATGCAAGCTTGGACCTTGATTTGTCCCCATTCAAGAGTTAGGGTGTTGAAATGGGTTAAGTAAGCAAGGATTTTAGTGTTGGGCTTCTTATAGCCATGCAAAGGCATAAAGTTTGCAACTTTATGGCCTTAGGGTCTTAGTGAGTCCAGATATAAGTTTTGGTCGTAGGGTCTTAAGGCATTAAGACATTTTGCTTGAGTTTGCATGAGGGGTGCGTACGTTGGGTGTACCTCCCTGTACGCCACATGTACTGCATCCCAGTCTCGATCCTTCCACCTCGGCTAAGTACGCTGCGCGTACCAATTGGTACGCCGAGCGTACGACCCAGTCCGGGTTGAGTGATTTTTGGGGCTTTAATCGTTGGGCTTTGCTTGTTGGGCCACTTCTAAAGTTGGGCCCATATTGGACCTTGGATGATCCTTGGGGTTGGGCCTAAGATTTTTGAGGCTTAAAAGACTAACTTGGCCCTTTTTACCTTGGACATTAGGCAAGTAGTGTAGGTTTTTAGTTTTGGGTTATGTCTTAATTATTAATTGGGACTCTATTGTTTAGTTAGCACGGAGATTTCTCCAGTCCAGCAGTCCGAGCGTTTATCTGGGTTTTTCAGCAGTTGAGGTGAGTTTCCTCACTAGATTCGTGGGTCGAAGGCACCAATGTCGACCAATTGTTTGTTGTGTAGAATTTTGGACGTCTTGTGATGATTATATGGAAGACCAGGATCTGACCCCTGTCATTTGTATGAAAGACCAGGATCTGGTCCTGGCAGTTATATAAAAGACCAGGATCTGGCCCCTGGCATTTGTATGCAAGATCGAGATTTAGCCCTCGGCACTGAACGGAAAGACTATGATTTGGCCCATAGCATTTATCTTCTTTCATCTGTGGTATGTGGTACATGAGGAAATCACTAAGCATATGCTTACAGTTTATGTTTATGGTTTCAGGTACTTCCGTTTCCAAAGGGAAGGGCCTGACGTGATGACACAACATTCTCCTCTCATGGATTCCGCATTTGAAATAATTTTTACTCTGATGATTTAATACTATGATTTGTATGGGTTCTGAACAATTAATAAATGATTTGAATGACTTTTAAATGAAAAAAAATTATTCCTATTTTGGAACGTTATAAGTTGGTATCAGAGCCTTGGTTTGAGAGATTCGGGCACACTTACGGGTGTGTCAGAACTCAAACTGAGGAAATGATAATTTTCTTAGGAAAATAAAAATTTTAATTTCTAAAAATGTTTTATAAAAAAGGAGAGGGTGTGATGCATGCGATCAGCCAAGCTCAAGTAAGTGGTTCCCAAGTAACCATACTTATGTGTTATGATTAATGTGCTTGATATGAGAATTGCATGCTAGATTAGGGCTAAGGATACCTTCAAGAATTATATGATAGAATTGCATGATTTGTGTGATGCCTTATAGCCCAATAGAACTTCGTGCTATGTATTACTTGGAATTGATATCAGCTCAATTATTTGCTAAGTGTATGCTTTCAAAGTTGTATACGATTAGGATTGTATCACCCTAGAATGATCGATTTAGCCTCATTTCGTGTTCCTTGTTTGGTTGTGGACTTATGGTAGAATCTTCATTTGACAGTCTATGTGATCCTATTTTGTGTGCAACTTGCATGCATAAGGCAACCAACGGTATTGATTGAGGTTCTTGGTACTGCAAATGGTGAGAGTTGAGAGTTCCTAGGAGAGCCTAGGATATGTATGTTGTGTAGAATAGGATTTATTTATGTTTGTAGTGTGGTAACATAGAGGAATCATGATTGACCTTGATGAAGGTAAGGTAGGTGTGAAAGGTAGTATTGGCCCGTACTACGGGAAGCACATGACCTGTACCTGAGAAAAGAGCAGACCTGGCATCTCTAAGGAGGCCTTTTTGTTGGGAATTTTCCTTTGAGTCATAA